AGGCAGAATCCCTAAAGAAACCCTCAGACATAATATTTTTCTCAGAAAATTTATAAAGCAGATGCAGGTTAGAGATGAAAGATGGCAGGATTGATGGGAAGGTGGATGAGGATTCAGGAATTAATAAGTATAGTCATTTTCAGCAGACAAAATGAAGAAAAGAATGTGCATGCAGACACATCTCTAACTGTAGTAGTTTGTCATTTCTGTGTCTAATATTAAACTGACTAATGCATGTCTTCACTCTGTAGGCAAATACATAACATCAGCCATGTATAGGACACTGTTACATTTGCCTTCTAGTCCCTCGTATGCCAGGATTTAAAACTGATCCTGAAAATGTCCAACATAAATGTAATGCCATTGCCAAAAGCATTTTCAAATGCAATAGATAATTTTCTGGTACTTTCAGAGAAAAAAAATATATGCATATTAATATGGCTAAAGCTGACATTTGTAACTTTTTCTCACCCCCAGCACACTGGTAATGGAGCCACCTCCCTGCACCAGTGGTCTTAGGGAATGACTTCACATTTGCGTTGGACATCTTCTTGATGGTCAGCAGGGGCGTCCAGGGGAAATGGCTCCCAGGTAGGGCTAGTGTGGGGTTGAAGAGACTCCCAATTGACTGGAATCTACTCACACCCAGCGCATGGAAGTACAGTACAGTCGGTGTTCTCTGTCCTGAGTCAGGAGTCCTCACACCAACAGAAAAGAAAAGGGCAGCTTTGTGAGAAAACCACTAGACTGGCTCAGAGGAGCTGGACAGATTCTCTCAAGTCAGCTCCTCACACTCTGGCTTCCTGATCTTGAGCAAGATACTTGTTAATTTTCTCTTTTGTAACTTTAAAAAGTGGCATTAGATGACCTCTAATTTGCCTCCCAACTCCTGCATTCATAATACTAATGAATTCATTCAGTATTGATTCAGCCTGGCAGTTGGGATATAAAGTACAATAATCTTGTGATAAAGAGATACACATGACATAGAAATATAAGTAGATCACTGAAGGGGCAGGTATTTCTTGCTGGGAGTGGGGAGAAGGAAGGAAAAGGGTATAGGATAGGAAACCTCTCATAGGTTAATTTCAGTTGGACCTTGAAGGGTGGAAATGTGTCAGGAGCAGAGGGTTCAGAAGCAGGTGAGATTTTACTGAGCTTGGTATTTATGGTAAGAAGATCTTTGCAGTTGGAGTCCAGAGGTCCTGGCAGGAGATGATGTAGGAAGGGTGGATTGGGTTTATATTGTGCGTCTGTGCTAAGTCACTTCAGTTGTGTCCGACACTGTGCGACCCTATGGACTGCAGCCTGCCAGGCGCTTCTCTGTCCGTGGGATTCTCCAGGCAAGAATACTAGAGTGGGTTGCCATTGCCTACTCCAGGGGATCTTCCCAACCCAGGGGTCGAACCTGTGTCACTTATGTCTCCTGCATTGGCAGGCAGGTTCTTTACCACTAGCACCTGAAGGGATTTCAGATGCCAGGCAAGGGAATTTTTTATTCTCTGCACAATAGGAAACCCCTGAAGTTTTGCCAGGAAGGGGAATGAAATATTCTGAGTCTCAGTTTTTGGAAACTCGATGAAAGTCTGTAAAGAGTGGATTAAAGTGAGCAAGGAAATCCGATTTGTTTTCTTAATGGCTGTCTTCATCTGTTACCTTACACCCCGGTACCTTTGGGCATTTATATTGATCCCTCCAGCATGTCTCCCTTTCTATAACCATCATTGACTTCACAAACTCAAGAAAATACTGTTTGTGCTCCTCTTCTCTAAGGTGACTCCAAGAGCTTATCTCCCCTAAGTGCACACCGCCTCCCCCGTCCCCAACCAAGCAGGGTGGCTGTACCATTAGCAATGTGGTTTTTTTTTTTTGTTTTTTTTAAAGGCAAGAAAATCCAATGTTAAAAAGGAAATTAATGATTTAGAAATGTACTTTCCAAAAAAAGGGAAAAAAAAGAAAGAAATCTAGTTTACTCAGTTCTGTATCCATAGGTAGCTTAGTTTGTTTTTTCTTAAAAGGTCAGGAAAAATTGAATCCCTTAGTGGTTGTCACAGTGATGTCAGTCTTAACTGCTATTAACTGATGTAATAACTTTGGCTTAACAAACTAAAAGCAAAGAACTTTGTATGGCGTTTTCATATTTGATTGCAGCACTTGCTTGATTGAAGCTGCATTGACTGAACACAGGACACTAAGATCAATTTTAGGGGATCGCAGGGAGCCCCTAGGGGTTTGCTTGGGATCCCTGAGGCCCCTGGGTCAGGCCATCAACTCTGGCTTTCATGTTTTCCTTTTTCTCTGCTGCAACCTTTTTTTCCACCCTTTTTAATGAATGCACCAGAAGGTACTGTCTGTGCATGTGTGTGTGCTTCCAGCAAATAGCTTTATCATCAGTGCTGTGGGCCCTCCTTACACACTCGTGGCTGTCATAAGGCAGATTTGATGCAAGCTTTCTACACACCCAGCTTTCTACACACCTATCCTTCAGATGGCTCTGTCACCTAAGCTTGCCAGTTGTCAGCCACCCTGGTGTCATTTAAATGGAGGCATTTTGAATGTTTCTCATTTCACAATGTTTAAGACACTCATTAAATGACAGTCATCTTAGGAAAACAGCTGTTTCTTCCCGTTCTCATGCAAACATTTGTTCACCTGGTAATCTTCAGAATCACAGATTTCTGGTTAAAAACAAATTCTTCCAAATTATATGTAGTTGGCTCAATATGGCTTACATTTTTAAATTTAAAGATACTCAGACTGTCCTGTTTTCTGTGTAAATTAGAGCAGATACAGTCACCCTGAGGCAGTAATGGGGACTAAACTAATTTCACTGATGTAATCATTGTTAAACAATTTCCAATGCAACTTTGGAAGCAGTATTTGTGAACCTGTTTAATGATGTTTAAAAATGCATCAATGAAATTGGCTTAGCCTGTGGCCTTTATTACAGTCTCTCTTCTCAATTACACAGATTCCATGTTTTATGTCTGGACTGATTATAAGTAACCCCCCGCACCAAAAACAAATTTTTCTTGGTTGGGGTTTTGGTTTTTCCTTTCCCCTTGGATTTTGTTTTGGATTTGAAAATTTTTGGAGGTTGTTTCGGGTTCCCCCTTGGGTTTTTGGATTGTTGGGAATTGCTTTCGGGGGTTTGGGTTGGCTTTTTTTTTTTTTTTTTCCCTTTTTTTTTTTTCTTTTACTTCCACTGCTCTTCACCTTCCACTTACCCCCAGTGTCGTCATGAATTCACTATAAATTCCAAGCCATCTGCCTTGAAATATAGCAGAAAACATTAAATATGTTTTTACTAATGATCTGCTAAAATCACAATTCAAGCTCTGTGCTGAAGCTGCTTTTTTTTTCTTTTTCCAAGTTTCAGAGGCAGTATTTAAGTGATGACATGCAGTAATTTGTTCATTCTTCTGTCAGTATAATTTACAAGGCAGTGGCAGATAAACATAGCAATACAAGATTCATTTACGGTGACACAATGGCAGATACACAGAGCAGAACCCTGCCTATGAGATAAAGTGGACTGAGTGACTTATGCAGTAATTAGGGGATAATTGTCATTAACCTCACAAACAGTAGTTTACCCATATTGTTTAAAAGGCTCCAGGATGCGTAATGACAAGGTAATCTGTCAAAGCGCTAGGGGGAAATATTAATAAGATTTGTGCAAGCCTGGATAGAAAATATGCAGAAAGCGGCCACATTAAGCTAATTGGTGGATGAATATACACTTGTAAAAGTGCTTCTAATGGCACGTTTGCTGCTCTCCAAATGACTGCCGTTAATGTGGAGAAGTGGGCTGCTTCGAAAGTCAGGGCTGCTGGGACAAGAGGGTATTAAGGCATGCAGACACAGTTATTACCTTGTGCTCCGTAATGCATGCTTCCCCCTCCTCTATTTTGGAATTCTGAGTTTGGTGTTATAGTACCATATGTTGATTATTTACTCTGATGATTACATTTTTTGATCTTCTATTTCCGTCAGCCGCCGACCCCCAATCACCTCTGTTTTGTGGCCAAAGAAAATGTCTAATAGCTACACTGATAGCTTAGAAATACATAGAAACGCAAACTGATAACACATATGTAGATTGATAATTACACACACACGTGTGGGGGTGCCTTTTATAGGAACACATTTAATCTGAGCAATCAAAGGAAAGTATATCCATCAACAGCCTCGTGTATGTGTTACAAGTAATAATGTGTTGTTCCCTGATGAATGCTAAAGCAGGAAATTAATCTTTGTGTTCTACTGCCATTCTTATACCCAGAGAAGAACAAAGTTAAATCTCCCAATACATCTCTCTGTTCAATCACACACTCTGTCCTCCACGTGTTGTATGGAATACTGCTTAGTGAGTCTTCAGTTCCTTTCTCCCCCTGCTCCCCCACATCCTAATGAATATGTTAAAGTTCCTTAGGGTTGTTCAATCAGCTTCAGTTGTGGAGCGATTCAAAATATAATATGTGAACTAGAATCAGCCTTTCAAGCTTTGGAAGCTGGGATATGAGTACTGAGGATCTTGGTTGTACAGACAAACTTCATACAAAGATTGAAGGTTGTGACCTTGAATTCATTCCAAGGTTTTGACCCTTACCTAATGTGGAAAATCACCCTCATCGTGGGAAAAAAAAAAATTTTTTTGCACCCATTTTTGCTGTTTATCAAATATGCAGGGGTTGGGGGCAGGAGGAGAAGGGGACAACAGAGGATGAGATGACTGGATGGCATCACCAACTCAATGGACATGAGTTTGAGTAAACTCCGGGAGTTGGTGATGGACAGGGAGGCCTGGCATGCTGCGATTCATGGGGTCGCAAAAAGTTGGACATGACTGAGCGACTGAACTGAACTGAACTTGCTGTTTATCAGACATTATAGGAAAGCCCATCAGGAAATGCCAGGGTCTCTCTGGTGTTTGTGTTTAGATACATGAAACCTCAGCACAGACCCCTGGGCAGACGGAAGATTTCTACAAGCCTGGTGGCAGAACATTGGTTATGGAAAGAAAGGTAAACTAGAAGATGTAAAGCTCAAAGCAAAAATGCTAGCACGGGCTCTGGTGAGTGGTGTTTATTTCCAGGCAAGCAGATTTATAGCTGTCCAAGGACTCGGGTTTTATCTGTATGTCTGAGGGGAGAAGAAAACAAGGCCACTTGCAGGGCCCATCCTTCTCCTTCCTCCTATTTCTAGTGTTTTCTCTTAGATTTCAAACTGTTCCTTTGCTGTCCTGAACCATAAAATGACTTACCCACTAGCATCTCATGGTGATCATCTCCAAAAGAGTAACTTGTGTCTATTTAAAAGGTTTAATTGAGGCAAGAGTCTCATATACAGATACTGCTGTTTCTCAGAACTCCAGAGATCACAGGAGAACTACAGATATTTATTTATATAGCTAGATGGAGATATAATGTATTTATTTTGGAATGGCTGAGCCTCATGTTTTACAGGATTTCCACACTCTATTGATACAGTGATATGGGGCTTCGAAGGAACTTACTGAGCAGTTTCCCTATAGAAGTGAAGTTTTCACTTGAACAGATCATTAAATTGACCAGGAGTAAAAAGTAATCCAAAAGAATTACTACCTCTAATCACATTACTGATAAAGCATCGAGGGAAGCATGCAGATTATGGAACCATACAGTAACTCAGATGGTGGCATATTTTCAGTCATAAACGCATATGTTCTGAAAATAAGTTGTACATACACAAGTTGGTTGAAAGGAAAAATTTTAGCCTAAGATTGGAAACATTTTGATTGAAATGTCTTGTGTGTCCAGATTCTAGGTATAAATAGTCAAATAAGGGAATTTGACTTTTTTTTAGTAAGGCTTAGAAAGTTAGTGGGGCTTCTCTGGTGTCTCGGTGAAGAATCTGTCCACCAGTGTAGGAGACCCAGGTTTGATCCCTGGGTCGGGAAGATTCCCTGAAGGAGGAAATGGCAACCCACTCCAGTATTGCTTCAGGGAAGTCCCTTGGAGAGTGGAGCCAGATGGGCTACACTCCATAGGGCTGCAAAAGAGTTGGACACAACAGCGACTAACCACCACCAACAGGAAAGTTTAGCAGGACTCTTACTTACATGTACGAAAACGAAACTAGGTACGGTTCCTTCACAGTCACACAGCTGGTCATTGGCAAAACGAAGACTAGAATTCAGGTGTCGTTTGCTTATGTTCTTTATTTTCCTCTGACATTGAAGATGAGAAAGTTATATTAAGCATAACCAAAATTTGAAATTTTAAGATCCAAATTCTCTTTTAGCCTCTAAGTTCAGAGTTAGATACTCTGTGCTTAAAGATGCACAGGTGATTGTATATTAAAGGTTGATCTTCTAGGAATAAAGATCTGCTGGATTTGAGATTTCCTATTTCGAAACTTAAATGATTCTTAAGATACCATTGTTAATTATTAAAATGCATTGTGTCTTTAAAAGTTTCTCAGATTTGATTTACAGTGAAGCTAGGTAATTTGAAAAATAACTTCAGACTCTTTGAAGTGTAATTCTAGATATTGTGGAAAGTAATTTACACCTCTTGACAATTCTGTAGATAGCAAAGCAAGGCACTTGCTTTATTTATTTGCAAACAAATAACCAACAGAAGAAATTCATGGAGCTGGTTTAAAGCCAAACAAGCTAAAATTCCTGGATACAGGGAAGAAATCCTGACAGGCCTTGAACAGAGCTTAGCTGGAGTTCTGTGATTAAATATGTTGTAACCCTAGAGTGATCTCTCATAATCACAGATTTTAAAATAAAATTGCTGTACAGACGGTTATTGAGGAGAAAAGTAATCGTCCTCTATGAATTATATGTTCTCATCTGGTCCATCATCAAGAACATTCTATAACAAAGTAAATTTTTATATCAAAAGTCAAACAACATACTTAAAAAAAATCAGAAGAGCCATTTAAAACTAATGCCTTGGCATTTTGATTCCTCCTGGTTTGAGAGGTGGTCATTTTGGGAGAGTGTATTGTTCAATTTCTCAATAATTTGTTTCTTCTTCTAAAAGATACCTTCTCTGAAAAGTTGTTTCAAATATGGATCAGAAACAGAAATGGTAGGGATTTATCTCTTGAAAAATCTACCAGAGCCATACCTGAAAATCACATAATATTAACATGTCTTTTCCTTCTGTTCCCAACTGTAGTCAGGGGCCATTTCCTTCAAGCTTCCAGTTTCATCCAAGGAGAGTAATTCCTTAATTCTGTACTTTTTTTTTTTTTTTTGCAAGTAATTTGATATGCCTTTCCTTACTATACTACCAATTCTTCATGATTGAGCATTTTTCATTCTATAATAAGACTGATTTATAATGAGGTTGGTGCAGTACCTAAGAATGGTAGTCTCTGTACAGGTACACGTTTGTATACATGCACATATACGTGATAAGTAACTTTTAAAGTCAATCCCTAATGTGCAAATTGTATTTATAGAGAGCAGACCTGTGTTAGCAAGGACTAATGAGTCTCACCTTGACAGAATATTCTTTAAGGCAAAGTTTTTTGAGAGCTCTGTCATTCTAACCAGTGGTAGATATTCCTATAGCGTTCATTTCTCCTTTGGGGGAAAAAGGAGGAATTGGAAAGACACTTCAGACAAGTCCTTTATAATCCGTGCATACTGAATTTAGCACCAGCTTCTGTAATCACAGCCAGCCAATATATACATAGCTCTGATGTCTGTGCGCACATTTCGTGACATCGATGGGCTTGGGTTGATGAGGAAAGCATATTTGTTTCCCAGAAGGGATAAATGTGCATGAATGTTAACAAAGTCCATTCTTTATTTTTCTTTGCAAGTTTTCATTTCTTTCTGTACCACACCCTGTTGATTCTTTCTCATGGAACCCTTCTGTCCTGGGGAGGGGCAGAAGAAGCAAGAATGGACTGGTCAACATTGTATTTAAAAGGTAAAGTGATGCTCTTGAGAAATTCTGCAAAACCCAAATTTCCAAATGATGGAAATCGGGTAGTTTTTATTACCCAAAACGAATTTGATTTTTTTTCTTATCAGATAAGTCTAATTTGAACCATTTGGTGCAATCATGGTATAAATGAGCATGCCTCACTCCGCCTACAGATATTACAGTTGTTTCAACTGGCCTGGAAATATTAGCCTGAAACACTGGAAAAGCACACTCACTTGAAAGAACTCTGTGAATAAAGAAGAGTATAATTCTGTTTACTTACACAAGCAGACTGTTCCAGTGTATACTGTATATGGTAGTGGTTCATCTTTCTCAGCCAGTGCCCTCCCAGAAATATGTGTTTAGATGTAAATTTGCTAAAACAAATAAGCATGCCAAGTTGTTTCCCCACATAATTTCAAGTGTTTCTCAAAAATTATCACAATATTACTTGCAAAATTTCCCCAAGTGCTTCCCAGAATCTGTTATTTTCAATAAGCATTTTTTGTTATTGTTTTACCATTTTTCTTCGTCTGCCCCCTCCTGCACACACACCTCCCCCCCGCCCCACTTCTTGCTTGCTTACACACATACACATGTGCAGGCACACAGACACAAAAATTTTAACCCTTGCCAAGTCATGTAAATTAGATAAATAAATAATTAGCCCCCCCCCCCCCCCACACACACACACACACCTCAACAAAAAGAGAGGAAGTGGCTCTGATATATGTGGAGAGTACCCGGACCAGTTAAACTTTTTGGCTGAAGAGAAGTTTAAAAGTAACTTGACTTTAGAGGAACAATTTAAAATTGAAATATCTGCTTGTCACACATGGACCCACATGAGTTCTAAAACAGATAGCTTGTAGGTGAAAAGGAGAGAAGAGGACTGAAAGTTCTATAAATTCTATAAGATTTCCTTTTTTTTTTTTTTTGTAAAGCTGTAGGTAGTGCTTTCAGCCCTCACAGGCAGCCCTACCCACCCCTCAGGTGGTATCCATGAACTCTCATTTGCAGCACCCCCCACACACCCCCATATGAAGTTAAGGGAATGGCCCTGTTCATGACATCTGAGATAATAGTCTGAGCCCACCACTTCCCCCTGAGGTGACCTACCAGTTAAATGATATATTTCCTAATTTCTGGGTCCCTTCCTTGATACACGTCCAGCTAACCAAGAGGCCAGCACAAAGGCAGGTGAAGGGGAGCTTCAGTGAATTAACAGACCACTCTTCAACATCTTCCAAAGTGTATGTGAAGACGTGTGCGCATGGTCCGTGTCTGCCGCATGTCAGTATTGGCTCTGTAGTGAAGCAGTCTAAACTTTTTATGACTACACACCCTTTTCACAAAATACATGAGCGTGCACCCCAGTGCGTGTGAAGCTGTTTCTAAGTTAGTAATATGTTGTAAATTTACATATAAAAATGTAACACATTTGTCTTTTTAGGTTAAAAAAATAGAAATTCTCATGTTTACTCACCACATCAGTGGATTGTTGTGTACCCCCCTACAGATAGGAGAGAATGGAGGAGGGGACATGTGTTTTTCTGGTTACAACAGAATGCAGGGAACAAGAAGATGGTCTATATATAAATGGGGAAAGTTGTGAGTGTTGAGTTCTGAGTGTGAGAGTTCATGCAGTTTTCATAGTTTAATGTTTTGTGTCAGCTTCATTGAGGTATACTTTACATGCCAAAAAATCTAGGAGTTTTTAAGTCTGCAACCTATATAGTCATATATACATCAGCCTTAGGATATAGAACATTTCCATCACTGCCTAACTTTCCCACTGGTCTTTTACAGTCAGTCCTTTCTTCCACCCTCAGGCCCTGGCAGATTCTGATCTCATTTCTCTTCTTGTAGGCTTACTTTTCAAGGATGATTCCTCTGACTGGCATAGTAACATCTGTTATCTTTTAGGTCTGACTTCTTTCATTCTTAAGGTTATGTTTCTATCAATAGTTTATTCCTTTTCATTGCCCAGTAGTACTCCTTTGTGTATATCTCCCACTATTTGTTTAATTAAGACTTAAATATCAAGAAAACCTGGCAAAATATATGTTTCAAGCTTTGCATAGCATGGTTTC